GAAATCATTACGGCTACAATGGAGTTATTATTAGCTCGTCAATAGGGAATTGGCCGCACATCCCGAATGATAAGAAATGTCTTTTCACCGCAGGAAATGGACTCACGCTGTTTTACGCTTGTGGTACCGGCACACCCCCCCCCCCCCGGGGGAGATTCATCAGGAGACAGTTTCCTAGACAGTTGTCATCAGAATGGTGTCCCCCATTGGAAGATTTCCCCTCTATTCCTGTTCTGGTGACAACCCAAAATGTGGGATTTACTTTCACTTTCAGTGATAACGTTCACCAGGCCAGAGACCAACGGAGAGGGTGAATCTTCCTAACGGGGCACACAGGCAGAAATAAAAACCTGACGGGGGGTCTACTCCTGCGCTAAGCTAAATCTAAAATGAAAGCTGATGTTTGATCTGCTTATATTTTGCCTTCATGCCTGCCTACATGGCCAAAAGTATGAGGATCCCCCTCCAAATGATGGGTTGGAGGTGTCTCCGGTGAAGGGTTTGGTGATCCTCCATCATACAAAGACATTGTAGACAATTGTGCTCTTCCGGCCTTGTGGTCACAGTTTGGTGGAGATCCTTTTTCTGCTCCACCATGACTGTCCTCTATGTACAAAGCCAGCTCCATAAAGACATGGTGTGACCAGCTTGTGAAGGACACTCAAGTTCCTCCACACCAGAACCCCGACCTCAACCCTATGAAACTTAGGAGCACCTTATGGAATATAGATGTTCCATAGAAGATATTGAGCTCAGGGGCACAAAGCCAGCTTCATAAATACTTGGTCTGACCAGCTTGGTGTGGAGGAACTTTAGTGTGGTGTACAGAGCCCTGAACTCAACCCTACTGAAGACCTTTGGGATGAGTTGGAATGTTGGTTGCGGGCCTAGTCTTCTCATCCAACATCAGTACCTGACCTCACAAATGGTCTTGGCAAGTCACCATTGTGAGTGCCGGTGACCTGCTGAGCCCATTCTGAGTTTTGCACTGTGTGATCACCATGAGCACCAACACCATTGAAAGGTTGCAGACCATAAGGAGCGTGGGTGGTTCTTGGAAACAATTGTGACCTCACAAATGGGCACAAATTCCCACAGACACCCTTCACAATCTTGTGGAAAGCCTTCCCAGAAGACTGGAGGATGTTATAGTCACACTCTATATTAATGGCCATGGCGAGGGGGCACCTCAGTATTAATGGCTATGGGGAAGCAACTCCATATTAATGGCCACGTTGGGTGGGACCAACTCCATATTAATAGACATCGGGAGGGCCAACTTCATATTAATGGCCATGTGGGGGGGGGCAGCTCCATATTAATGGCCATGGGGAGGGAGCAGCTCCATATTAATGACCATGGGGAGGGACCAGCTTCATATTAATGACCGTGGGGAGGGACCAGCTCCATATTAATGGCCATGGGGAGGGACCAGCTCCATATTAATGATCGTGGGGAGGGACCAGCTCCATATTAATGGCCATGTTGAGGGGGACCAACTCCATATTAATGACCATGGGGAGGGACCAACTCCATAATAATGGCCATAGTGAGGGGGACCAACTGCATATCAATGGCCACAGGTAGTGACCATCTCCAATTTAATGGCCATGGGAGGCAGCAACTCCATATTAATGGCCATGGGAGGCAGCAACTCCATATTAATGGCCATGGGGAGGGACCAACTCCATATTAATAGCCATGGGGAGGGACCAACTCCATATTAATAGCCATGGGGAGGGACCAACTCCATATTAATAGCCATGGGGAGGGACCTACTCCATATTAATAGCCATGGGGAGGGACCAACTCCGAATTAATGACCATGGAGAGGGACCAACTCCATATTAATGACCATGGGGAGGGACCAAGACCAAATGAATGACCATGGAGAGGGACCAACTCCATATTAGAGGCCATAGGGAGGGCCAACTCCATATTATTGGCCATGGGGAGGGACCAATTCCATATTAACGACCATGGTGAGGGACCAACTCCATATTAATGGCCATATTGAGGGGGGCCAACTCCATATAAATGGCTATGGTTTTGGAATGGGATGTCAAGGTGTCATGGTCAGGTGTCCACCATCTTTCGGCCATATACAGCAAAAGGATGGAATGCTCCTTGAACATAATCATCATTCATAATACCCCAAAATTCGGAGAAAATTAACCCTTCCGGCACAGAGAGAACAAACTCTTTGAGGGACATAAAAAGTGAGATCTTTACATTGGTGACATCCCTGTCCGTCCTCTGCACTGCAGGTCGCCGACGTGCTCCACGCTGTCATCACAAGAGAAGAAAATTGCACCGGCACGGAGATTTCGGTGCGTTTATGAGCTGCCATTACGCCGGAGATTCGGCCGCCTGTCAGCCGACGGCCTAATGGAGATGAAGACTTCTTAAGTGACACTAATTAAATGAACGTCCATTTCCTTTTACCGGTGGCACAGAAACGTGTGACACATCGACATTTCCTCCTCGGCACATTTATGTCCGAACCAGTTCATGTTTTATTTATTATTAGGCCATTAAAAGCTGATTTCAGAACCCCGTTGTACGGATGAGTGTGTGCGGCCAGCTTCTGTGTCATCATTTTTGTTTTATATTTATGTTCTTATGTGTCTTTATTTGTTAATAATTGTGTCAATATACTTTGAGTGTTTGCAAATTTTGATAAAATGAATTATTTTTTCTGTTAATAATAAATGAAAAAAGAAATATATATAAACCCGAAATATTGGTGATGTCCAAGGTTGACCTGGGTGATAAGGGGGGTATTGGTGATCTCCAAGGTTGACTCGGGTGATAAGGGGTGACATAACGAATGCAAACGAATCCGAATTTCCATTTCCGAAATTCGGTAGCGTTAGTACGAACGTTCGTTTCGTTTTCTGTTTCTTATTCGTTTCGTTCGTTGGAGCAAAGTGACATTAGAGAAGGAGAAAAACATTTTTTCCCCCTCAAATGTCACTTTTGCTGCAAAGGAACGAACGAAACAAATAAGAAACGAATAAGAACAGAAAACGAAACGAACGTTCGTACTAACGTTACCGAATTTCGTCCGAATCCGAATTCCGAATCCGAATTGACTTTCACACCCGAATCCTGAAAAACGAAATAACACAAATCCGAATTTAAAACCAAACGAATTTTTGGGCAGTGCACATGT